AGAGATGGCACGGTTTTTAATCTCAGTCCCCGAGTGTCGAGGCAGGTCCGGGAGCTGAACCCAGACTGCCTGTCTCCAGTGCCAGTGTTGGCCAGTATTCAGTGCTGCCTGCTGAGCATATTCATCTCGATGGCCGGTTAGCAGCCTGAGCTCAGCCTGCCCTGGGCTGAGTTCATAATCGCTTAAATTCGTAATTTAAACCTTCACCTGTGCTTCGCATTCTGACTAGTGCGCGGTAGGCGTTAAGTGAATGCTTTCCGAATGCTATTAAAGTCCCTGAGATGGACTCCCCTATATCCTGAAATCGAGGCAGGCAGTTTGGATTTTGACGGAGCAAAAGTGCAGTCATGATTATCTTGGCGTGTAACTCCTTCCTGTGTATGTATGATTTAACTCTCATTTATGCGGCACTTGCCGCGTGAGAGACACTGTTCTAAGCTTTCGTGTGTATGATTTAAGCCTCACGACAGCAGTCGTCGGTAAACGCTGTTGTTACCTCCATTTTGCACGTTAGGAGGCTGAGGCACAGAGAGGTTGAGTAACTTACCCACTGTCACACAGCATAGCAGTGATTTGAACACTGCGCTATCTTAGTACTTACTAAGCCTGTTTCTTTTATCAGCAACAAACCACCAACACCGTCGAGGAGCCCCTTGATCTTATCAGGCTCAGCCTGGACGAGCGAATCTATGTGAAGATGAGAAATGACCGAGAGCTTCGAGGCAGATTACACGTAAGTTAATTGATCCGGTTACCTTGAAATCAGACGGTCTGCTTGTCCCTTCCTTCCCGCACCCCCTTGAAATATAAAAACTGTCCCGTGTGAAAGAGTATTTTGAAATGCAGACGAGAGGGAGGTAGAAAGACATATTTCTGTAAGCCAGATAAGCTGTATTTTATTCGTGTCGTTCACATTTTTCTCTTGATAGAAATGTGTGTGCTATAGAACATTTCCATTTCCTTCATTTTTTCCCTTCTATTCATTTGTAAATAACATCTGTTCTCCAGGCTTACTTACATTTTTTTTAGTTACATATACATATTTTTATTATGAAAAGTTAAGCAGCACAGAAATACATAGAGTAAATGGTGAAATCCCATTTCCTCTCTTGGCAACCCTATTAAAAAATGGGCTGTCTTTTCTGTATATTTACACATGTGTGCGTGTGCATGTATTTGCACTGTGTACCACCGCTACAAAAAAATATCTTGCTATACATATTTTTCAGCACTTTTTCCTTTCTACTTAATCTTTCTTGGAAATCATTGATCATGAGTACACATGAATTTCCTTTATTCTTTTTAATGATTACCCAGGATACATATAGTAGTGATACATAGATTATTTTCCATTTCTTACTGCTATAAATAATGCTGCAGTAGCATTTCATACATATTTCTTTGTGCATATCTGCAAATATTGCCATAGAATCGGTCCCTGGACGTGATCCCATTTGTTCATAAAGAGTACACTGAAGGTGTTGCCCCTCATCGGTGACTTGTTATTTTCCTAAGTGTGTTGTTTTCATTGCTGTCACTCTACTCTGAAGTTCTTAAAGGTAGCCGACGTTTATTGAGCATCAGGTATGCACCAGGTAGTTATTCTAAGTGTTTTGTATGTGCTATCTCATTTAATCTTTATAACAACCCTCGGAGGGTTGGTACTATTAATAATTATCCCTGCTTCGCAGCTGAATCAAGCTCAAGCTCAGAAAGGTGCGGTCACCTGCTCAAGGTGAGGTGGCCGGTAGAGGGGAGCCAGGCTCTGAATCTGGGCAGCCTGATCTCAGCCCTGCTCTTAGGTCCTGTGGTGCCACCTTCCGTAAAACCTAAAGACGAGGACCCTCTGGGCCTGGGAAGGACATGGGGACTAGGGAGACAGTCGTCTTGATGTACAGCTGGCCTTAGGGGAAGAGGGACTCCGGGAATGGAATCGTAGCAACTCAGGGAAGAAAGGTAGACTCGAGCTCGATCGCCTGAGTCCGAGGCCCGTGGAGAGACCCCCCAGGACAGACGTGTTAGCGCTTGGAGGCTTCTCCAGTTCCCCGTGTAGACGTGACTGCCTCTCCACCGAGTGTCCCCGACTGTTTCCTGCCCCCCAAGCAGGCGTTTTTGTTCTCGCTGGTGTGCCCTGCCTAGCAGGTCCCCAGATGGCTGGTGGGCGGCTTTTATTTTGATGTGAGCAGGCGAACCACTTAGCGCTTTGTTAGGAGTAAACGTGAGAGAGTTCTGAACGAGGCCCCCGGACGGTCACCTCCCAGTAAAACGTAAACTCCGGAGCTTGGGTTGAGTGTCTTCAGTGCAGCATTTCTCGACCGAGCCACAGGTTCTGGGCGGGTCATAAACGTGCAGGTTGTCGCTCTGCTTTGCCTCTGTGGCGTTCAGTCCGCCAGGTGCCTTTGGACGACCGCAGTGCCGTCATCTGAGTAGCTAAAAAGGACTCGATCTCTTTTTCTGTGTCGTCGTGCTGCTGCAGGTGGGGTTGAAGGGGGTCTGCTGAAGTGATGGATTTGAAATTTTTCATAATTAAATATTGTAATGATGCTCCTGCCTTGGATAGCAAGTAGGGTGGATACCTAGAAAATGATTTCAAGTTATTTTGGGTAAATTCGTTTTGGGCCACGTAAACAGGTTTATATTTTATCAGGTTAATTAAGTTATCATTAAATGGTTTGGGAAGAAACTGTATATT